CGATGAAATAGAAGTTTCATTTTCATCCACGTTGTAGCTGAGTTTTCAACGATTAAAACGCGCTTTTAAACATCCAAATACGAGTACGCTAATGGGTTACATTTTAATTTGAAAAAACGCCTAAATTTTGCGAGTTCCGCTCGAGGCGCTCGGGGGACTAGTACCCTACCACGCGCGCCAAGCATTTGTCCCCCGAGCGCCTCGAGCGGAATTCGCAAAATTTAGGCGTTTTTTCAAATTAAAATGTAACCCCTTAGCGTACTCGTATTTGGATGTTTAAAAGCGCGTTTTAATCGTTGAAATCTCAGCTACAACGTGGATGAAAATGAAACTTCTATTTCATCGCTTTCCTTATGAAAAATAGCGGGGAAGCTTCGGGCGCGCTTGCGAAATCTCGAGATCTCTGTCCCGGGATCATCTCCGAGAACAATAATTTTGTGAGAATCTGCAGTATCATTAAAGATGATATCATGCAGAAACTGGACCAGATTGGCCGGCGCGTTCGGAAGTTATGGCCATTTAAGTGTTTTCACTTCAAGGGGGTGTAACTCCCCCTAGAGTGATCCTACAGGGGTTCAATGGGGGTGTTTTTTTATTGCCGAAGGATGCTCTCTCTCGTTCCCTGATTAGAAATATAAATTTCCTTCCGAAACTACTAGATCTCGAAATTTTCAAAAAGTTCAAAAATGCACTTTTTCACTCCAACCCCTGCCATTCGTCCATTTTGTATCCGATCGGGATAAAACCTTTACCATTCGAACGGGAAGGAAATTTCCTAAAAAATACATCTTTGGTTTTTTTAAATCGGTCATAGTTTCGTAGAGATACACAAAAATTAAAGTGTTCCACTTCAATTGCGCATTACTGTATATGTATATAAATCATAAACTTATAAATTTTTAAGAATTCAGCCCATCCTAACCGAACAAAATGTAATTTTCATTACTCACCATAGCTAATTTACAAGTGGTTTCATTTAAATATCTCAACTCAAAATATGCAAAACTGCGAAAATCCCACTAGGATTGGTAGACTTTAGGAGTTGATTTCTCCCCTTATGACTGTTTTTCCGCTGATAAAAAAAAAAATACGAGTCGCTTAATTTCCCATGCTCTACAACGTATTTGAATTTCTTCAAAATTGGAGGGGGCACAGAGATACCTTCCTTGTTAATGACCAATTCGAAAGGCTTTTTTCACACTTATATTATGATGGCTCCAGCAGGCAAATAATTAATAGTTATTTAGTTTTTTCATTCTTACATTCTACAGATCCGGTCATGTATTTTGTGTAGAGAAAGTGAATATTTGAATGGCTAATCACATGTTGAGTCTTAAAAATACAGCTTATTAGATTGGTAGAAAAATTATACTTTTCACATTTTCACACTCATTTAAGATCTATTATTAGCACTCGGGGTGCTTGAAAAATAATAAAAACCGTGTTAATTAATGTTCTCAACTTTTTAAAAAATGGTAGCTTTTCTCTTCATGCACAAGAGTCACTATAATATTTTTAGTGAAATAATTTTTATTACTTCCTTACCTACGTAACATTCATTAAACCGCTACCGCACAAAATAAAGTTTGCACACTGTTAATCTAAATACACACGTTGTTTTGATTTCAAGAGTAAAAATATGTGATGGATCTATTTTGAATCAAAGTAATCCGCTGTTTGCCGGCTACAATACATTTTTTTTAAATGGTCTCTGTATTCAAGTGAATTTCGACTTTATAGAACCCGTACTGATCTTAATATTCCGTTCTTTTTTTCTCGAAAATATACAATATGACAACACAAAGACCATAACGCATGTATTTATATTTATTAATTAGTTCCTCAGCATTATATAATTTTGAAAATACCTAAGCATGGAAAGAAATCGGAATTAATAATATTTTGAAATAAATAACTGCGGAATAGTGAACAATATAAAATTCTAGTTGGTGCAAGCTGACAAGATTTTGGGTGCAGAACTAAAAGTTTCCACCCAAAATGGCGATGTTCAAGTTGGCAGTAACTATTGTACGAAGTCGACATTCACAACAGAAAATGGAAATTTGCACCTAAATAACCTACACATGAATTCTACTGTGGACATCGATGGTTCCGGCTCCCTTCATATTAGTGAGTGCTAATTTAATACTTCCGATGTTCAAGTGTCCAAAAGTATTGTACCTAGTTTTCAGGCTGTATTCTAAAACTTACTGCTATTCACAAAATACAGACACGACGATACTCGTAGTGCTAGCAGCGTGTTTTAAAATATACCCTCAGAAACTTCTAGCCGAACATTTCGTTTTTCAGGTACCTAACATTTATCGTTCCCTATATCGAAATTCTTCCGGTTATAATTCTGTGCATTCTGGTGTTCCTGATTGTTTCGACTGTTGTTCTTTCCATCCAAATTCTCCTTATCATCCTTTTCAATACCCTAGTTCTCCAAATCATTGTTCCGTACGTTAAAATGTCTTCGCTATGAGTATCTAAGCACTTTTGATCATCGAGTTTGTTTTATAAATATTCGGATCGTTATTTCAAATGTTTATGTACTTAAATTGATCGCCATTTCTTATGTTTAAGTTTTCTATGTGTTCAATATACCGTTTTCTCACATCCTCTTCTAAAAAACGATGTCAGGTTTTTATCGAAGTTTCGATTGTAGCATTATTGTCGCTTTTCCGAAGTGCCCATTGGCTGTCGGTGTCATCAACAGTGAGTCGCCGAGTTCTACCTGAAGTTTCTGTTTCGGAGAGAACGCAGTTCTTGGTATCGGTTTGACAGATCGGGGATATGATAATCGCAGTTGCGATTATGATGATGATTTAATAAATAAAAAGTGGACGATTTGAGGAATAATGAAGGTTATATTATTTAATGAAAACGGTAAAGTAGTTTCAGTGATATAAATAAGACAGATGATATACAAAAGAATATAAGAGTTTTGTGGAAAATATATGTGTCCGATTTTTACTGGGTTTACGGAAACTAATCTCGTGCTAAAGTACTAATCTTCTAGTAAAGTAATTAAATGATCCTTTGGATAATGTCAGTATACGTTATTTGTGCTTGACGACGAAAGGATAACCTTTTTTTAGAACTTTATTTTGATCATTTTAGAGTGTTGAGTGCGAAGTGTCAAAGTTAGCGTATAGAATTTGGAATATAGTACACTTGAAGTTTGATGGATAAATTAGTTGCCGACGAGACCATGATTATGTAATTTTGCAGCATAATTGTATAGTGAGATAATAAATTTGTATTCAAAACGCTGCAGCGCAAACGGACGTCAAGCCGCGCGCGAAAGCACGCGTGTTACTCTAGTAATACATAACTTCCCAGAAAGTTCTAAAGGAGGCTTCTGTGGATTATACTAATCATTCGAGCGTCTGTTCTTATTTCATAATTACTATATTTAAAAAAATCAAATGTACATGAAATAATGCTCTACGGTAGTTCTCTTATCATTGTATGCTGTGGCAGCAAAGGATATCATTTATTTATATTTTTATTATTTTATAAACTATAACGTGCAAAATCACTCGTTTGACTATTGTGACAAACTAATTTTGCCACGAATAAAATGGCTTGGCCCATAAACCGAATGTGGAGGGAAAGTGCGTTAATTTCGCACAACTGATGAGGTTGGTATGATTGACATTATTTATTTTCAAGAACTAAAAAATGAACAAATTCAAGTTTGGAAATAGGTAATAAATAGTACATTACGATACAAGTATGCGAAGTATGTGATTCTGTGGAAACACGTACGCGCACGCGTGTCGTGTCCTATTTTTCAACTCGGTGTGCAAAATTCGTAACCTATAAGAAACTAGAGTAAAAATGAGAGTGTAGTATATTGCGATATAATTGCGAGAGGCGGGCTGCGGACGGAGTCCAGGGGCGGAGCCCCAGATGAGGTTTCAGGGGGTGAAGCCCCCCATACTGAGAAAAATACTGTTAAAAGTCATTGTATGTTGTTACATATTGACGTTTAGATTTCGCTGGCAATAACTGCAGTGTAATACTTTTTGCTGCTTCGAGCACGTAGTCTGGTATAATATCTCCGATTTCAGAACCTGATTTATTTTCTGCGCTCATTTTACGAATTTTTTTTAGTGCTGCGCGGTTAATAGATTAATTGATTTATCGATTAATCGGTTAATCGACCAGTTTCAATTAACCTTATCAATAAATTAATCGATTAATCGACACGTTTCAATTAATCTTTGCTGCAGATTAATTGATAAATGGATTGAACCAGATTTGGTGGATAAATTAAACAGCCTCGTAATTCGAAACTTCGGCATAATTTATTTAACATCAGAACATTGGAAACAGCTTAATCTGCGATTAGAACAGCGAACGATTTTGATACAGAAATATTAAGATATTCACATTGTCTGACGACAAGCAATTGCGCTTCGCGTTCACTATATTTTCTGCTGTGGAGAATACCCTTTCAGCGTATATAACGGCGAGTTAAGGTTGCCAGTCTCGAAAAATGGAAAACTCGTCTTGATGATGCACTCCCGGTAGCTGCATATGATCTCCCGTATTCAGCTAACATCAACCGTACTTTTTTTGGGACAACTAGTTTCGCATCCTCCTCCTCGTAAGGTGAATTCTTGTAGCGTGGATCTTGGATATAGAGAAACAGAATTAGGGATGTTAGACCTTATTTTACCAATCAAAATATTTGTTATATTTATTTATCGTTTCTTTATAGAAGCTTTGTTTTCACTAATATTTTTTCTTCGATATTTTCATGTCAGGATACTCAAAATTGTCTACAATGTCCAGCGAAGTGATTTAGAAAAAAAATATTCAGTTGAATTACTTATTATGTGTGTTTATAACTTGAAAAATTCAAACTCTATATCTCAAGAATGATTTGAAATGTCGAGCTGACAGTTTACACGTAATCAAAACAGAAACGCTGTATTGATTTCCAGAAAGTTCAATATCTCCTTGGTTATCTAGTATAGATACTTGTTTGAGAAAGGGCTGCCGACAAAAATGCCTACGCATTTGAAGCATAAATAAAATTTAAAAAATGCAAGCAAAGAAAAGAGGTTTTTCCGAGAAACCGTTACAGAAATGATGGTACCTAAGAATATGGCCAAATGAACGGCGTGCACATTGCAATGTTCGTCGATACTTGTTGCGATCAGAAAAGGATTCCTCAATTCCTCACTGAGGACGTTCTTGAACGTTGTTGATAATGGTCCGTCATCAGTGTTCAAAGTCATATAATTTTCTAACATGCTGTGGATGAGAGGACGAACCATTAATATTGTTACCTCGTTCTCGGAGGACATTACGGTGGTCAAACGTTCAAATGGTTTCAACAGTACTCCCAATATTTCCATGTCTCGCCATCCAGAATCAGATATTTTCATGTTCAAGCTTGATCGAGCGCAGCTAGAAGTAGTTTCATTGTCAATGGCGCAAACAGCCTGACGTTGTTCCAAGATTCTCTCAAGCATATAAAACGTTGAGTTCCACCTTGCACGGCAACTTTGGATCAGTCGATGTTCCAGAAGTTTCAGAGAACGTTGATGATTGATAAGAGCCGTCGTTGCAACATTTGAGTGCTTAAAGTGCGCTACAATGCTGCTTACTTTTTCAATCACACTTTTTAGTTCTTCTAGTGCTAGGCCTCGATGAATAGCGCACTGCAGTGTATGCGCAACACATGGTACACTCTCTCCAACTGATTTAGAAGTACGAACAGCACACGTTATATTACTCGCATTGTCGTGAACAATACCAACAATTTTGTTGCTCAAGTTGCATCGTAGTAAAATATTTTCCCGATGTTCCCTCGAAGTTACTGCTGTATGACGATCTGCAAACTCGATTGTCTCAAGAGTAAAGGTGAACCACTTCCACTCGGAATCAATCCCATGGACTGTTACAGTTACAAAAGATTTGGTACTACGTGAAGACCACGCATTCGTTATAAGCGCGGTATAGCTTGTAGCATCGAGCTTCTCCTCCAACATTGGTTTTACATCAAGATACATTCTTTGAATATTTGAACCAATCGTATGTCGGCCGGGAACATTGAACCTCGGGACAGCAATGTCTATGAAGCCATTAAAAATCCGATTTTCTGAAAAAAATATCGGAAGCATATCGATCGCTACCATTTTGGAAAGAGCTGTCGTTATTACTTCCGTTTGATCAGCCGGAGAAGATAGAACACTGTGGAATTTCGTTTTTCTCAGGACGCAATGTTTTTTCGGACTCTCCATCATCACTCGATACATCTTCATTATTGTGATTATAATTGACTACATCCATTGCGGAATCAATCGTTTTTTCGGACTGGAGTTGTGGCTTATATGCAAAAGCAAAGTGGTTTATCAATCCTACTTCTACGCTGTCGATTTCATTTTCAGCTTATAAGTTACCCTTGTCTCATATTGTTATACTTGTGCTTCAGGTGATATGCCAGTGAAGAAGTTGTACATACCTAGACACGACACCCACAAACCACATAGGGCACATTTCGCTCGATCCTTTTCTGTAAATTTTTTAAAATATTTCCATACTGCACTCTGCATATTGCATATAATGTATTAAATAACGTGAAGTTATATGATGTCGTTCTAGTTTTTTAACATCCGATTGAAAAGTTGGAGCGTTTGACTTTGAAGTGAAGTTATTCGTCACACGTCTGCTTTCTTTAATATTGTATTAAATTTTTCTCGTATAAACTATGCGGCAAAACATCCAACCGATTCTGGATCAAGACGGTGCCATACAGCCGACAAGAAATGGTGCATTTATTTTCATCGACATTTCAAGTAATGATTGCTTACGCTATTCGAGATCTCAATATATCAATAATAAAGACACATGTTATAATACAAATAACCATCAATTAACCCATTTGCATCATCGCTCTACTTAAGCTTTCACATCGAAACATCAGCGACGTTCAACTGTCGAGTGAATCTCATCACCACGCGCGGTCGATCGTATGTGCAGTAACGCGCATCGAAATTATTCATCGACTTTATTAAGAATGTACTTTGTAAACGATGATATAAAGTGTTATATCGCATTTTACATTTTTTTATACAAAAGGAAAAACAAATATTTTTTATAATAAAATAAATTTATTTAAGTTAAATGAGCATATTAATAAATTAATGTTCGTGAAATTCTTTAAAGTGGTCAATACATAATGCTTTATCACAAACATGGCATTTAAAGACTGTCTCCCGTCGAATTGACTTACTTAAGCATAGAACGCATCGTTTTGAAGTTCTATTCCCCTTTGCAGGAGTTGCAGGTATCCGTACAGGAAAATGCCTGCCAGTAAATCGCGTAATGGAATCATTGACAGATGCCTTATTGACATTTATGTTGGGTAAATAATTATCAATAATTTCTTCAGATAATAACTGTTTAAACACATGAAACGCTCGATCTTTCTTATTATTTTTAAAAATTATATAACTGTTCAGCAACATCATGTCAATGAAATAAAAAAATATTTTTTTATAGGCTTTTTTACATCGTCGCATAGTATGAAATTTGCTTAACATCTGGTCACCAACATCAACTCGACAGACAATTAAGATTCGTTCTGATACGTTCTCGGTTCGTCGCTCCCTGTCTCTCGCACTATTTGCCGGACTCTTACTCCGACCCTTTCTACCTCAAACCTAGCAACCTGAGCGGCCGTGCATTTCCGTAACCGTCCGCTCCCGTTCGTGTATCCAGTTGCGTTTGCTGATTTTACGCGACCCCAAAGATCAGCACCTACGGTTGCGTTTCTCGATTTTACGCGTCCCCAAAAATCGACAGGATCTATAGATTGAAAGCACTTACTCATAGTGACAGTTTGAAAGATTTTCACAGAAAAAGTAAAACTTTTTTAGAATACACTGATATGTAAACTGAATGAATTGAAACGCTCTCGCAAATGATTAAACGTGATCTGTCCCAATTGAAAGATATTTTCCGACTAAGTACAAAAAAAAATAACGTAAGCTAGCGGAATATTCCGCGCTTGGTGATAGTTGACAGTCGCGGCTCGCAGAATATTCCGCGTAATGATGCAAATGGGTTAAGGGGTTATACTACCCAGCAAATTTTTTTTTTCATTTTTTTGTTATTGGCTTAAATGATGCATGAACTATCCAAGAATGATATGCAAACACTATTTTGTCTGGGAAAATTCAATAAACTATTTTTAACAAGATAACTTCGAGCGCTCCTAAACGTTTAAAAAGGCCGCTCACCTGCGCGTATTTTAAATGTATTATAGCTTGTTAGTAATCTTCAATCAATCTTCAAATCCATTTAATTTCCTCAAAATACAAATAAATGGCGTTAATAAATCTCAGAGAAGCCATATTGGACGCTACAATAACCGGTAGACTGCGAATAAACACGCAGTAAACAATTCCACGTGCTACTCCGAGTTGAAACTTTAAATGCGTTTTTCTCAAAACTACATTTTTGAAAACTGCGTACACTGTAACTCGCTCAATTTTTGTCGGATTCACTTGAAATTGTAACTGTAACTTCTTAGATAAATTATTTAGGGAAGTACACACACTTTTTAAGATTGATAAACAATTAAAATTGTTATTAACATTTTAAAATCGATTTTTAGCAAAAAAAAATGAAAAAAAAAGTTCAAACTGACGCCAATTTGCGAATTTTCGATAAAAATGTATAATCGTAGGTACTTCCCTAGCAAAACTAATGTACATTAACGACAAAGTTTTTGTTTGCTCTACGTGCTGTTCGGAGAATCTTATGATGTACGCAGATTCGCTCCTCTGAAAAAACATATGTTCCGTTTACCACTTGCCAAGACGCCATTTTGTATCAAAAGTTATAATAACAAATTTTTTTATATACCTCAAAACATGTATAATAAAGCCTCAAAATTTCATTTTGATCCATTGAATAGTTTCCAAGAAAAAAATTCCACAAAAAACCTTAATATTTCAGTGCGCCTGGATAGTATAACCCCTTAAAGTCACTGACAGAGTCGTTTGTAGTTAAAAGTCACTAAGAAAAAATTAAAATGCGCTATTAGCACTAAAAGCGAGTTCTGAATACGGGCTGTAGCGTCGAACTGCTGGCCGAAACCTATTTTATGTACGCTTGAGGGGAAACCTTGAATCGAATTTACGTGCTGCGGATAAACCCTTGCAGCCTACTTGCTAAGAGAAGTACGCGACGGAAAAAAAGGCCTGGGTGTACGACACCCAGTGTAACGTCCTAGGGTTAATCCCAGTAGAAGACGAGAACCACGATTTGTAAATTGCAGTTTCTAAAAAATGAGTATAAGGAAAAGAGAGAAATATACTCCGTGTTACCTGCTGATAGACAACAAAGACTGTATAAATTTATAAGAGTACAGATGAGAGCGTGTGCAATATATGACTTCCTAGTTTGTAACTTATTGAACAATATACCAAGATTAATTTTATTTGAAAAATTAATGTAATTCCCTATGAAGGCGCTTGTGTAGTGCACAAACCTCCTAAAAGTCCCATGATTTCCGCGTCCCTAAAATTACGAAAAATCTCGATATATGTATATTTCCATATATTTTCTATAGTCCATACAATTAATCCTGTAAGGAGAAGCCAGTAGTTTATTTTATTCTTTGGCTGCATATACAGTACTACGTCGTTATAAGCGAACTCGTATGTAAATTTCTCTTCAGTTTCGCTTGGCTGGATTTTATCATATGTGTTTCACTGTAATTCGATTATAACGAGCAGCAGTGGTGCTTACGGACACGACTTAACATGTATGATTCTCAAGCTCGCCGTACAGTAATAGGGAAAGGTTCCAGTGACGAATTTCTTAGGTCCCAATTCCTCTAACCGCCCTAAAATTCGCTTATAAGAAGATAGTATTGTACCAAAGACAATCGAAAACCATGGTGGTTCTTGGTAAAAAGTTTTAAAAAATTGATTGCTAAGAACCACCCTTACCTAACCCTAGCAATCTCCCATGTCTCTTACGACTCTCGTCTACTCCCATAGCATTACATTCCTCAGCAGCGCCTTCGTAGGGAAAAATATTTTTCTTGGCTTTCGTTTTCTTGGCTTGGTAAGAGGAAGGCACATTGTATAGACTCACTTACTTTTGTTTTTAACTTTTCTTAATATTTTTTGCACCCCTTGTACTTCCGACAAAAACGTACTTTATAGTAAAAAACTGAGAAAATATTATACACTTTTTTTTACAGGCTATTCGCACATGGCGTTAGCACGAATTTTGAATCGCCGAAAGGAGTTTCATATCTGTGTGTCGCACGCGACTTTTTTATCAAACGGCGCTTTAAGGGCGGAATCCAAGTTTGCAGAGAGCGGAAACTACCCACTTTACGTATGCAGAGATAAAGGCTGAAGAGTTTTAAATTAATAGAACCAATGTGAAGGGTGCGATTGAATTACGAATATCGTGTCGGTGAAAATGACCTTGGTTTTATAAATTTATTTAACATATTTTTTCAAAACCCATAATCCCTATAATTACTGACAGCAAACTTCTTATGCTGAATATATTATGGTGATTTAACCGGAAATATATAAAAATTGAGAGATTTTTGAACCGAGAGTAGCGACGGGATAGAAAGGGCTACTTGGAGTTTTCCATCGAACGGACACGAATTGCAAATAAATTAGGTTACCGACCTTGACCCTTGGAATCCTTGGTTCTAACGGTTTTACGGACGAGTCCACTCGCTTAATCCGCAATCCGATAATTGACCAAGTTCTTTTCGCGAACCTTCTGGTAGTCATTGAGGATAGGTTACTGTATGTATATGTATATACATATATATATCATATACACATCCCATCTTCAATAAGCGAAACTTATTAAGTCAGAACCATGATTTGTAGTTCTGTACAATTATTTTGTCTATCTAATATATATATATATTGTAATCTATATCATCAGGATGAGCACGTATGGATTAGGTGGATTCGAGCCGGAATCGAGCATTTAGGAATGAGGAAAGATAACAGAGACAAAAGGAATGAAAGTGAGATTCTATCTTGCAAATCGAACAAAGATAGAATATATTATTTTAAGTGATATACGGAGATGGCTAGTGAAAGGCCCAGCCTAAAGCTGCTAGATTTTAATATAAATAAAAAATAAAGAAAAGCGGAATGTAAAAAGACAACATAACAATATTTCATACAAATAAATATAATATACAGAAATATAAGGCACTTACTAGATACTACTAACGGCCTATTAAAACGATTATATGAGT